CTTGGTGTGGTGTTGCCCGCACCGCGCTCAGCCAGTGAGCACACCGGCCGTTCCTATATAGGATCTGAACCCTGGGCGGGAGCGTTGCTGCGCTCCCAGCGCCACACTCTCCCGAGTGCGCCACGGGGTCGGCCCCTAAGGGAACTTTTTAATCATTTAAATATGTATTCCCACCTCTTTTGTTTATCAGCATTGTCTTCCAGCTATGTGTGTTTATGAAAATATTTCTATGGTAATTCTGATGAATACTTCTTAGGAACAGTCATAAGTATAAATGATTTAACTTAATTTTCTGTATATTGTATATCTCTTCAACTCTGTAGAATAATAAACTGTTAAAATCCTTGTTATGTAACATTTCATCTGACTTTATTTATTGGTTCAATATTTATTTTTTAAAAATTTAGCCTTGTCTCCTATATAAAACATTGACATGTATAATATAATAAACTTGAAAGGCACTTAATGTAAATTATGTATGCCATTTTGAAATATAGTAGACCAATGTTAATTTTATATTTTAGTTGTCATTTTAAAAATATCTCCGATTCATACCAAAGCAGGCTCCATAGCTACTGGCTCAGATGGGAAAGAATGTAGCACTGTGCTTCTCATATTACCTGTATTCTTGCCTGTCATATTGGAAACTCATCCTTAAGCCCAGAAAATGTACCTTTGCCAGAGAAAAACCTGCTGTTTTATTAAGATGTCTATTACTTGGTGTGACAATGTTTCCAAAATGATCTCTGACTTTATCATTAAGAAGCTTTTTCTACATGACTCCTTTTCTCACTATCCTTCTGTTAATGCCACCACCACCGGAGCAGCATTGAAACTTAGATATTAGCAGCAGTAGATTGTATCCTCACAGGCACATACACCTCTGTTTCATCCATGAATTTATTCAGAAGGTCCACAAAGGCAAGCAGGCTAGTTTGGGAGGGAGTATAACAGGGAAGGTCATCATTCGCACAATCACGGAATTAGCAGCTAAATCAAAGGAAATGGAGCTGGGAAGAACAATAGTTTATGGTATATGAAGAGCGCAGGTATCTTGAGATTCATATACTATTTATTCTCTTTACTCTCTGTTTTCTTCTGATGATTTATACCAAATTCTAGGAAACTGAGAGTTATGTATGGTTTTAAAAATATATTTTTGTATTGAGACATGGAGGGCATTTGCTTTTCTTCTATAGTTAAAGACTGAATAAATCAATGTGGCATTATTCTTCATCATATACATTTTGTTTTATGTCTTATAAATTATCATTTGTTGTCAAGAAATTTTAAAAGACTATATTGAAATACACTTTAAAATGTAATATTGAATGGTTTTGAATTTTGTTCAAAACAAAAAATGATCTTAATATATGATAAAAAGTTTAGCAGTAGCTTATTAAAATTTGTATAGGTTTGAAATATTCACATTACTAAATAGTCTTCCAAATTTTAAAACCAAAATATTTTTATCATGATAGAGAAAATATTAAATTTGTGAAGTAAATTATAAACGTTATGATTTATATACTTTTTCATCACTGATTTGCTTATTTTTTTATTTTATGATGAATATATAGTAAAGATATGTTCATTTTGAGATTTGACTCCCAAAATTATTACCTATGTAATTTTGACCACTGTAGTTTGGAGTTTGAAACTACTTATTGCCTAGGCCATTCTCAACAACCTTGGGAATTCATTCAACTATAGAAAACTTTGTTTGTTGTCTGTTTGTATATTTCTGTTAATTTGGCCCATTAACTGATTGTGCCTATGCTTGGTTGTACAACATACCTGATTTTATGTTCTTTGGATAAATTACTTCCTTCAAAGAAGCAGCCAGAACCATGGTTAGTGCTGACTGCTAAGTATTGTTTTTGTGTTACTGGATTGTACAGTATTCTTGCTGGAAGTTGTAACATAGTAGAGGGGAAAGAGATTGAATAAAGAAGTAAATTGCAACTGAAAATATAGGCTTTTTGATGTTAGATTTAAAACATAAAAAGCCAGAAGAGAATTTTGGAAGGGATAAAGAAAAAAGGAAACATTGGCAACATACAGATTACCAAAAAGAAACATTGTCTTTTAGATGCCATTAGAATTCCAGTCCCAGGTATATGAAGAGAGAGAGAAACATTTGAAACTAATATTTGCGTGATCTCATAATTTTGTTTAGGTATACGGAGTTTTTCAAAATATTCATATATGTAGATATGCATTTTATAAATGAATAGGAGTAGTGTAAATGCAGCAAGACAGTAAGTACATGAACAAATAAGCATGCATGTGTTTTAATGAAACTTTATTTATAAAAACAGGTGGTGGGGCAGATTTGACCCACATGTCAAACTAGCTGTTTTGTGTTCATTAACCAGTATCTCACTATCCCGTTCCCCTCCCCTTTCTCATCTCTAGTAACCAGAGTTCTGTTCTCTCCCTCTGAAAGTTCAACTTACTATTGTCTGTCTGTCTTGTTTTATTTATTTTTAGCTCCCATTTATGAATGAGAACATGCAGTATTTCTCTTTCTGTGCCTGGCTTATTTCACTTAACACAATTTTCTCCAAGCTCATATATGCTGTGAATGGCAGAATTTCATTCTTTTTAATGGCTCAGTAGTGTTCCATTGTGTATATATACCATGTTTTCTTTATCCAATTGTCTGTTGATGGATGTTTCAGTTAGATCTATATCTTGCCTATTGCAAATAGAGCTGCAATAAACATGAGAGTGCAGGTATTCCTTGGACATGATGATTTCCATTCATTTGGGTATATACTCTGTAGTGGGATTGCTGGATTATATGGTAGTTCAGTATGTAGTTGTTTCAGAAACCTCCATACTGATTTTCATAGTGGCTGTACTAATTTAGAGTCCCACCAACAGTGTATGAAGGTTCGTTCCCCGTTGTCCGCATACTCACCAGCATTTTATTAATTTCTGTCTTTTTGATAATAGCCAGTCTAACTGGAGTGAGATGATATAGTGGTTTTGACTTGCATTTCCCTGATGATTAGTGATGTTGAGCATTTTTTCATATATTGTTGGCTGGCTGTATGTCTATTTTTGAGAAATGTCTGTTCAGCTCCTTTGCCCATTTTTTAATTGGATTTTTCTTTGCTATAAAGTTGTTTGCATTTCTTGTATATTTTGAATATTAATCCCTTGTCAGATGCATAATTTGCAAATATTTTCTCCCCTTCTGTATGTTGTCTTTTCACTCTGTTGATTCTTTCCTTTGCTGTGCATAAGCTTTTTAGGTTGATATAGTCTTATTTGTTTAGTTTTTCTTTTGTTGCTGGTGCTTTTGAGGTCTTATTCATAACATCTTTGCTCAGTCCTACATCCTGAAGTGCCTCCCCTGTGTTTTCTTCTAGGCGTTTTATAGTTTTAGGTCTTATCTTTAAGTCTTTAATCTATTTTGAGTGGATTTTGGTGTATAGCGAGAGACAGAAGACTAGTTTCATCCTTCTACACCTTAATATCCAGTTTTCTCAGCACCATTTATTGAAGAGGCTGTCCTTTTCCTAGTGTATGTTCTTAGCACCTTTGGAGAAAATCAGTTGGCTATAAGTACGTCGGTATATTTCTGGGCTTTTCTATTCCATTCCATTGATCTGTGTGTCTGTTTTTATGCTAGTACCATGCTATTTTGGTCACTAAAATAACCAAGAGGCTATTTTGGTTGCTAAAGCTTTGTAGTATATTTTGAAGTCAGGTAGTGTAATGCCTCTGGCTTTATTACTTTGGCTCAGGATTGCTATTTGGGGTCTTTTCTGTTCCATATGAGTATTAGAATTGTTTTCTCTATTTCTGTAAAGAATTTCATTGGCATTTTGATAGAGATAGTGCTAAATCTGTAGATGATTTTGGTTAGAATAGCCATTTTAACTATATTAATTCTTCCAATCCATGAATGTAGCGTATCTTTCTATTTATTTATGTCCTCTTCAATTTCTTTTTCATAATTTTATAGTTTTCATGGTAGAGGTCTTTCACCTCCGTGGTTAAGTTTATGTCTAGGTATTTAAAAATTTTTTTGCAGTCATCATAAAAGGAATTGTGTTCTTGATTTATTTTTTCAGATAGTTTGCTATTAGTGTATAAAAATGCTACTGATTCTTTTATGTTGACTTTGTATCGTAAAACTTTACTGAATTTGTTTATTAGCTCTAACAGTTTTTTGGTGGAATCTTTAGGGTTTTCTATATGCAAGATCATGTTGTCTGTGAACAGGGACAGTTTGACTTCCTCCTTTCCAATTTAGATGCCTTTTATTTCTTTCTCTTGTCTAATTGCTTTGGTTAGGACTTGCAGTACTGTGTTGAATAGAAGTGGTGAAAGTAGGCATCCTTATCTTGTTCCTGATCTAAGGGGGAAAGTTTTCAGCTTTTTCCCATTCAGTATGGTGTTAGCTCTGGGTTTGTCATATGTGGCCTTTATTGAATTGAGGTACATACCTTCAATACCTAGTTTGTTAAGACTTCTAATCATGAAGGAATGTTGAATTCTGTCAAATGCTTTTTCTGCATTAACTGAAACAATCATAAAGTTTTGTCTTTATTTCTGTTAATGTGGTATATCACATTTATTGATTTGCATATGTTAAATCATCCTTGCATTCATGGGATAAATCCCATTTGATCTTAGTGAATGATCTTACAAATGCATTGTTGGATTCTGTTTGCTACTATCTATTGAAAAATTTCACGTCTTTGTTCATCAGGCATATTGGCCAATATTTTTCTTTTTTTATTGTGTCCTTGTTCAGTTTTTTTGTTTGTTTTTTTCCTTTTTGTCTTTTTTCGTGACCGGTAACGGGATCGCGACCGGCAACGGGATCACAACCCTGGGTGTTGCGCCCGCACTGCGCTCAACCAGTGAGCGGACCAGTCTCTATATGGGATCCGAACCCTCGGCGGGAGCGCCGCCGCACTCTCAAGCGCTGCACTCTACCGAGTGCGCCACCGGGCCGGCCTCTTGTTCAGTTTTTAATCAAAGTAATGCTGGGGCTTATAAAATGAACTGGGAAGTATTTCCTCCTCCTCGATTTTCTGGAATAACATAAAGAGAATTGGTGTTAGTTCTTCTTTAAATTGTTTAGTAGAATTTAGCAGTGATGTCATCAGGTGTTGGGCTTTTCTTTAATGGAAGACTTTTTATTACTGATCCAATTTCCTCACTTGTTATTGTCTTCAGATTTCCTATTTCTTAACTTGATCTTGGTAGATTGTATTTGTCCAGGAGTTTATACATTTCTTCTATGTTATCAAATGTGTTGGCATATAGTTGTTCATAATAGACTCTTCTGATCCTTTGTATTTCTGAGACATCAGTTGTATTGTCTCCTTTTTCATTTCTGATTTTATTTATTTAAATCTCTCTTTTTTTCTTAGTTGGGCTAAAGATTTGTCAATGTTATCTTTTCAAAAAACCAATTCTTGTTATGTTGATCTTTTCAATTGTTTTTAAGACAATTTTACTGAATGTTGTGGTTATTATTTCTATTAGAAAGTTTATAACTTTTCATTTAAAGGCATAATAATTTTTTTGTCATTTGACATTTCTAATATTGAACTGTATTAAATTTTGAGAGTATAAGTAGAATGCTAAGTGTTCTTTAGAGTTCCCAGTTTAAGAAACAATGACACAAAGCTCAACCCAAGAAGGTGTCTTTCCTATTTCTCAGAATAAATATTGATATCAGAAAATTAAAAACAGCATTGCTTCTCAATATCAATGAGTTTCAGATATGACCTTTTCTGAAGTCATTATGATTTAATGGAAGATGTGTGGGCTTTAGCATGAGACGGGTCCATATTTTCACCTGGGCTCCACCATTTACTAGATAGGACTTCAACCTCAGTTTCTTCGTTTACTAAAGGGTATTAATTATATGAGGGTACTTCTAAAAGTTCATGGAAAAACGGAATTAAAAGATAATATGAATATTTCCATGAAATTTTTGAATATCCCTTGTATTTATTCCGTAGGGAATTTGCAAAAATTAAGTTAGGTAATAAATGTAGGTGTGCTAGATGGAGAGGGCTCTTAATGAAAGTTATATTTCTTGAGTTCCTTTTGGAAATATTTAATACCTTTGGGAATTATTTGTACAATGACAGAATGGCCTTCTCATTTATAAAATAAGCTTGTCATATTCAGAACTCTGAAGTTTAAAATATTCGAGATAGGGCCGGCCCGGTGGCGCACTGCTGTAGTGCGCTGCTTGGGAAGCGCGGCGGCGCTCCCGCCGAGGGTTTGGATCCCACATACAGACCGGTTCCCGCTCACTGGCTGAGCGAGGCGCGGGAGCAACACCGAGGGTTGCAATCCCGTTGCTGGTCTCGGTCCGGTACGGGGGCGACACTGAGGGTTGCGATCCGTTGCCGGACACGGAAAAAAGACAAAAAGACAAAAAAAAAATATTCGAGATAGATTTATTTATTATGGGTGATTGATTTTGATTACAAAGTACTAAAATTGTATAATGTTTTTGTCTACTATTTCCATAGGATTGGCGGAAAAGTTGTCTATTTTCTGCCCTGGAAATACAGATGAATACAAGAGTCTATACTAGGGATAATATTTATGTATTGCTGTTACAATATCGTTATGGAAGAAAATTTTGAACTGTTTCGATTACTCTTACTTGTAAGGAAATATTTAAATGGGAACTATGAAAGAAAGGATATAGTTACACATTGTTTTATATTGATAATGAGCACGTTGAACTTAATTCCTTTGAAGAAGTAGCACTTTGTTGGAGTTTCAGTTTTGCCTAGATTATTTAATATGTGACATAGAAAATAAATTTGAAAAATGGTTTCACATCTCTAAATTAGGCCAGTAGTCTTAACTTTAGTACTCAGGAAAAAAGTTTTTTAACTCTTCATATGTAGTTTGACCAATATTTGGTTTGGGGAAGGAGCATTATTTTTGTTGTTGTTGATGTTTTGAGTTACTATTTCTGTGACTAATTAGTTGAATCCTCTCATGTATTCTCTACCACATTGTTCAAGTTGGTCATGAATGAAAGAGAAAAATTGGAGAAAAAATGTGAAGAGAAGCAAAGAATATGGATCAACTACAAATTGCATAATCACTTCATGAATTTTTTTTTAAGTTGACGACTATGGTCAACCATCCAGAACATGGAATGTTTAGAATTTAATTTATTTTCATATATGGTTTAATTTTTTCTGTTTCAGAAAAATAATAAAGACTGACATCTCTGGACATTTTAGACATATCTCCTAATAGTTTCATAATTATAAGAAGGAAGTGCAGCTTTTTCATTTTTTGTCCAAAAAGTGAAGACAATGTCTTAATTATAGTTTATTTATATTTTTTTTGTTTTCAGAGTACATAGTTAATATTTGGAAAAGTTGCTAATGCTTTGGTTTTTGCCTTTTTTGTATATCTCATAACACCTATCATAGTTTAGTGTTCTCAAGATGTTTTTATACGTTTTTCTATGCAGTGTACCATGAAACTAGCTATGTTTTTAAAATTTGTTTTTTAAACTATGTTTTAAAATTTATGCTCACATACATTTGTTGTCAGAATCAGAGAATATGAACAGTTGAAGACATTTGTTGTGAAAGTTAATCCTATCTAATTTTTGAATATAATGAATATAATTACTGATTTAATAAGACTGAAACTTAGTAATTATCTCAGTTCATATGCAGACCTCATTTAGTATATCAGTAAGTTCTTTCTAGCATGAGAAAGTGGTTTTTAAGTTATAATCACTCAAATATTTTACTCTTTTATTAACTTCTAGGAATTGTGATCTATAGGAAGGGTTCTGTAAGTTTGAGGAAACACATTATGACATGATTTCTTTATAGAAAATTCTAGAAGATTGGTATAAATAGTTTATTTCCCTGAGTCATTTCCGTGTAAACCAGTCGGCCCTTTGCAGAGGCAGTATATTAGCTTATTTATTAAAATGTTTCATTAATCATCTAGTAGGAAAAGATATTTGTTTTGTAAAACAGATTATGCATAATTTCTAGTATATGAACTGTACTGATATATGTATTTTATTTGGGCAGAATTACTCAAGTAAAAATATAAGTTGAAGTCTGTATATTTGATAATTTAATCTTAATCATATGTAATTTATAAAAATATCTCTTTTGCGAATTTTGCTTTTAATAAAATAATCAAATATAATTTTAAGATATATTATTTTGTGTTTCAATTTTACATTGTATTTTCATTTAATTTTAATAATTTCCCTTTCTTGTACTTTTTTGGTCTCTTGTCTGTTTTGTCTAATGCATGTCCAGGGTTCTAAGGTTAGTATTACTTCTGCAGTAATTTTCAGGTTTTGAGTTTTAAATTTTATTTTTACTTATTTATGAAATTTTTGACTTGGTTATGTTTTGTTTTTATATCATCTTTAACATTAGACATATTCTTTATATATTTAAAAGTTTATTTAAAAGGATTATTTTCCTAGTGCATTGATGAATGACTATTTTATTATCCACAAGTCTCTAGACTATACTGTCATAATATGATGAAAACAATGATATTACAGTCATATGTACAATCAGGTTTTAACTGGTTCCAATGAAAGTAAATTGGATGAAATATGCTATTTTAAGATTTATTAATAATTTTGAGTGATATGTATTTTTAAACCTTATGATGCTTATATAACATTTCATATGTATAAATTACTCTATAAGAATATAATAAGAATTCTCTTTAAGTTATTGTTTGTGCTAAGAATGTTTTTTACTTTATTTAAACTTTTATTTTTTTAGTCAAAAATAACAGTTTGGCAAATTACATGAACAACTTAATAATTCTGTTTATAATTTCTGTTTATAATTCATGCATTTCAAAATGAAAGCATATTTTGACAGACCTGTAGACTTTCAAACAACTCAAAAATAAAACCATTAACTAACTGATAAAGTGAGGTAGATATCTCATAATTTCAGTGATTCAAAGTGATGAATTTCTTTGAGAACACATCTCTAGACATGCTAAATTCTACTATTTTGAAAAATTATTCAGAATATCTGATAGACCAAAGCAACAGCCAGATCTTCCATCCCATCATAGAACACTTAAATTGAAAACTAAGACTTAAAGTAGTTTTTTTTGCCTTTTTTATAAACTATTGTGTCGTGGTCACAGATTTTTAATTAATTCTGCGAAATGATGCTGTATATCCACAAAGTACTAGTAAATAAGGAATCTGCATTTTAAAATTCAGGTAGTGAATTAATGATGTCTTTAGGCCGTGAATTCTGAATTGGCATAATGTTGTAGACCAACAATTGAAAACAAATTTTTCTTCCATTGCCAAGCTCATTTTAGAGAGAATAGTGTTAATTAACCCTGTTTTGATGTTAAATGGAAGGAAGAAAGATTGCTGTATTTTATATTCCACTTAGAACTGAGTTTAGTTATATAATGCTTGCAGTAGTCTCTATCACTTTTTTTTACTCATCTGTACATAAGTGTTTGAGTTTTTTGGATTTATTTTTTTTCAATCGGTGTTTCCTGCTCACATTTGCATGTTAATGTTCCTGCTTCTTCCAAGCAGTTTAGGTAGAATGATGGATATAAACAATATCAAAATGGAACACTAAATAGGAGCAGATACGTATTACTTATGCTCACCTTGTAGTTGAATTTATCATTTGGTTAAGAGGTAAGGTTAGTACTGATTAACTATTTAATTTAAAATTTCCTGTGTTCAGAAAATTTAAGTGGTAATATTTTTTATTTGTAAAGCATTTCTTACTTTTCTCCACTTCTCAAGGCATTGAGAAAATGCGACCTAGACATAAGGAACAAAAATAATTAAAACATTATATAACACACAGTGAAAGATAAAGTGATAAATATTGCCATTGTTTATAAAACTACAAAGTTATACATTTTAAGAAACAGAATACTTTGTAGTCTTTCTGAAAGCAGGAAATTAGATTTTATCATAGACAATATTTTAGTGAAAGTACAGATTTCACTCTAGAATGTTACTGAGTCTTATTACTAGCTTTTTATAGGTCATGAATTAAATATCCGTAGAGGAGTTAGTGATCTTTATTATTTTTACCCTAGAATTTTTTTGTGCATATGTAGCACCTATTGGTTTTAGTTTATTCTAAAATGGATAGGAAATTGTTATACATTCTAATTTGACAGTCATCTTATTTTGATGCCAAATGAATTGCCATTTATCTTTTCTATCATTCCTCATACATCTGTGGCAAAGAAAAATTAAAGCATATGTTTTTATTAGTGAGAGTGAAGATTTTAGGAAAGACTAATTTTATATCTTTACAAATTAATAAAACTAGTATAAGTACATATATGTGGTTATCTTTACATTTCTTTGTGAAATAATCTTAAGTTTAGAATGCAGTTTTTATAACTAAAGACATTAAAAGCTAATGTAGATTTTAAAATGGACTTTTCCTTTATTCAAGGATAATTGAAAGGTAAACTAACTAAATTTGATAACCAGTCCTGGTGATATATGGAATTAGTTTATAATTTATTTTGTTTACAAATATAGTAAATATGCTAAACTTCTGTTCACCTATAGTATGTATGGACATGTATTATATTTTTTAATTTTAAGCAAAACTTTAAATCTACTTTTTTAAAGACGGAATTGGAAAATATCGAAGTGACACAAGGCATGTCAGCTGAGACAGCAGTAACTTTCCTCAGCCGACTGATGGCTATGGTTGATGTACTTGTGTTTGCCAGCTCCCTAAATTTTAGTGAGATTGAAGCTGAAAAAAACATGTCTTCTGGAGGTTTAATGCGACAGTGCCTAAGACTAGGTAAGTCTGTTAAGAATAACATTGCACATTAAGTAATTACCTACAGATTAGTTTTTTGAAGCTCTATGGTACAGTATAGATGATATAAGTTGATGATTATCTAATGTACAAGATTATCTTGTAATTCTTCAGAATTACTAAATTAAAAAAAAATTATTGTCTTTGCATTGGAGATTTCACCAATTGATCATCTTTAGTGGTTTATACCTAGAAATAGAGTCAGTTATATTTGGAATTCTTTCAAAATCAGTAGGACTTTAGTATATTTCATTGAAGAGGATTTAATGCAAATCTACTTATGAGTCCTATTTTGGTAAACTACTACTGAGGGTAATATCCTGAGCCCACAAACATATCAGAAAACGAATGACATAGTTTTATACACATGATGCTGGAAAGGTAAAATTGACTATCCCAATCTCTGTATTTCTCAGAGTGAACAACTATTTCTAATAAACATTATTATACCTACACTGCTATTCACCTTTTATCTTGTGTTGCAAAGAAAATTTAGCACTGAAAACTCTTAGTAAACCTGGGCGAGCTCTTTAGACAGGAACCATTCTTACCTCTGTTACCTTTCTTAAAGGGAAAATTGATTTAGAACTTTCAAAGAGACCAGAAAGTTGCTCTTTTCATGCTTGCTTTAGAGTATGAGTAGGACATAAGAGCACAAGCCATGAAATAGGGAGGAAATTCCTTGTATATGTTCTTTTTACTATAATTTTTAAAGATTATGTATAAAGTTACCCATCTATAGTTGCAGGGGAGAGGTTGTTTCTGATTCAAGGAAGGAACAACAACTTGGGTTAAGAATGTTAGAAGGAAACATACTTTTTTGGTTTTGTATTTTTTAAAGATAGATAAGCCGAGAGGAATTATTTCTTATCCATTATAAGGGAGAGATTGACCATTTTGGGATCTCTCTGGTAACCAAGAGGTGTGGGTTAATTTACTGTGGGCCGCTATAGACATTTTTACTGATATTTAACAATGGCTGCCAGATTGAACTTTGTGAGAAAGAGGTACAAGAGTACTTCAAACAGTTTGTGGAAAATAGAATTAAAAGACATTATGAATCTTTCCATGAAGTTTTTGAGGTACCCTCATATATATATTTTTAAATGCCTCAAAATCATGAAACCAACATTTACTTGATTAATCTGAGCTTTTATTTTTAAATATATTCCAAGACACATAATCACCTCTTATGTGCTATTTAGTTTTCTAAGCACTTTATATATATTAATTTAATTAGTCGTCACAACAGCCCTCTAAGGGAGTTATCTATGTTTATCCTCATTTTACATATGAGGAAACAGAGGCGCAGGTAGTTTAAGCAGCTGGCCCAAGATCACACAGCTCATACATTGCAGAGCCAGGATTCAAACTCAGGTGGTCTGATTTCGAAGTCTGAACTGTTTATTACATTACTTTTGCTTCTTAAAAAAGATTGTACATACTGAATGCTTATTGCCAAAGGCTCTCCCATCATGAAGAAAGGTGGACATTGGACTTGTGAGACTTGAGTATACTGATGTACTCTATTATTGCCAGAAATGGCAAGTTGTGCTCAGTATAGTCACCAAGATACTCAAATTAAGGGTGGAAGACTTATTAATTAAACATATTTTATCAAATATATATATATATTTTAAAATTTTTTATTCATAAAATTCATAATTGTGAAGGACAGAGGGTAATAGAATAAGGAAGGATATGTTGGGAGCTTCAAAGGCCCTGGTAATGTTCTGTTTCTTCTGCTGGTGGGTAGTATATG